AAGGTGACAATATTCAAGAAGCCTTTGGACAACACCCTCAGGGACACAGTGTGAATTTTGGGGTTGTCCTGTTCTGAGGCAAGAGTTGGACTTGGTGATCCAGGCTGTCCAAGGAGGTGGTTGAGCCACCATCCCTGGAGACATCTAAAAAGACAGATGTGGTGGATGCTGCAGAGTTAGGGTAGTGGTTGAACTCAATGATCTTGAAGGTCTTTTCCAACCAGACTGATACTGTGATACTATTCTTGGCAGCAAAAAGTGCTGATCCAGGCTTTCCTCCCATTCACACGAGGGCTCTGTTGGGCCTGACAAGAGCTGTGCAGGGCAACCTGGCTCCTTGCAGCAGCCTGAGAGAGCAGGAGCTGAGCAGCAAGACAAGGCTTAGCAGAGACTGCCTGGGCTCTGGGGGTGAGAGGGGTGCTGGGAGGATGAGATGGGAAGCACTGGGGACAGCTGTGGGAAGTAAGCAGGCAGTGAGTTCTTGGGGAAGCCAAGCAGGGGTGTGGAGGTGATTTGGGAAGGAGGAGTGGGGTAGGCTGCAGCAGTTCAAGAGGTGGGAGAGAGCACTGTTGGCAAAGCTTTCCTCCTGCAAGCCTCTGCAGAGGACTACCCCTTACCATCCTGCCCACCCTTGGAATGTTGCAGGGTCTGAGCATGCTCTCCAGTGTGGCTGCTGCCTTTTCCCAGCTGCTCTTTGGGGCAATTCAGGGCAAAGCAAATGATCACAAGCCTGATCTCTGCTGAGCTCAGCCATGGGTGCTGCAGGTGGGGGGCAGATGGCTGCCCAGGCAGGTCAGATCCAGAGAAGGAGCCATGGGCTGGGCAGGGAGGCTGAGCAAGCTGCTGGCCTGCAGTGGGTGCTGGGGATGGCAGGGACTGCTGGGCACAGCTGCTCGAACAACCACCAACACTTGGGAGCAGAGCAAAGGCACAAAGAAATGTGAAGCAATTATCCCAGGTCTGTCCCAGTGCAGCACTATGACTTTGGAATCCTTTCATATGATGGATTAGGGTGGAGGGCTTGTTTTCCTTGTTGATTTTCCCTGATTCCCAACCTTCACAGATGGCATCAAGAAGCAGAGGAGTCTGGGAGGGGTAAGACACTAGTTGCATTAATTGGTGGAAATCAGAAGTCATTCTGGTTATCTGGTTAGTTGTTCTGAATTTGAGCTGCTGCTCTGGCAGAGCAGGATCTGATCTGTGCTGTTACAGTCCTGTGAAGTTTTCACCAGCAGTTTGTTTCAACACCTCTGGCCTCACAAAAATATAATCCAGTGTTTTCCCAGGCTCTGCTTTCATGCTGAACGTGACACTTTCCAGCATGCGAGGATAATAAATCTTGACAAATGCAAGAACACCTGAGAGACAGGAAAGGAGGCTGAGCTCGTAGAAACATCACACATATTTGTTACAGAAAATGTGTCTTGCTGGACCTTTGAGGACTTGCAGGTATTGTTAAAAATGAGAGCTACTTTGGTGGCAGGCCTGAGAGCACTGGATTCTTCAAATATGATTCAGTACTTAAAGCACCGTGCTAGTTTCTGTCCTGAGATTTTATTCTCTAGGAAAATTAAAAAGCAAAAAAATGCTGCTAGGACTCAATGAAGCAATTTTGCAGTGTTGTGCTCACTGTGGTTTACACTGGCATCCTTCTCTTTCATCTTGTGAGTTTCCTACATTTTGCCTTTTAAACAAAAAGAGCTCACAGGTGAGAAGAAAGTGGCCCCACATGAATGGCAGGTAAATAAGCTTGTTCAAACTTGTATAAAAACTTCATCTGTGTTAATTTTTACAGCTAATAATTGCAATCCAAAAAGAAATGGAAGCATACTGCTCGTTAGTCAGAGGCAGAATGTGTTACTGGCAGCGTAACAAGTTTTTTCAAATTGGAGGCAAAGGTTGAATTAACTATTAACTAACCATGTTTCCTGTGCAAAATCTAACTTTTATGCATGTAAAACAGTGCAAGTGAAGCTTGTCATTTGGATGATCAGGTCTTCCTCTTGCTTGCCCACTGCTGGTCTACCCCAGATGTGAGCAGTTCCCAGGGTCGCTCTTTTAAGTCAAGAACAACAGTCTTGTGGGGCTGACAAAGGTCTGCTCTGCCCTGTTCTGCCCCTGCTCCATGTGCAGACAGGCCCATCTTGGGTTGGTTTCTCTGGGAAAACCTCTCAATCATCCAGGAAGAGTGCAGCCTGCCAGGAGGAGCAAAGGGTGACCAGAGCTTCTGTTACATCTGTGGTTGCCTTGGCATGGGTGGTCCCTAAGCTCAGTTCTAGAGGTAATACAGAGCTCTCCCTTCTGGCCAGGTCCATGCTTAGCCACCACAATAACCTCTGGGTCCTTGGCAGGGCCCTGGGCTGAAGCCATGGGGCAGAACTGCAGGGCTGGTAGCTCTTCCTGCTGAATCCAGCAGATTCACTGTTCATGACAACACATAGATGTAATTGCTCTGCAGTTTTGCCTCTGCAGACTTCTAAAACCTTTTCCCTGTATCTGCCTTCTGCAAGGCTCCATCCTGAACTCAGTGGCCAGGACTGTGCTAGAAACAAGTTTAGTCACAGTTAAATTCAGCTGGCAGGCTCAGTGTCACATCTGCTGCATCCCCAGCCCTCTGTCCTGAGCCTAAGCCTTCTAAACCGTCATCTGAGCCTTTTTCTTGGGGGTGACAGTGCCTTGCTTACTTGTTTAATTTGAACCCAATTCTGAGCCTTTGAATCCTGGAAGAGATGCTAACCTCTGGGTTTGGACATGTTTATCTTGCAGTTCCACTGAAAAATTCTTCTTGGATGACACAAAATATCACAGAATCACAGCACGTTCGAGGTTGGAAGGGACCTTCAAAGATCAAGTCCAACCCCCCTGCCTGAGCAGGACCCAAACCAGGGCAGGTCACTCAGAAAGGCATCCAGACAGGTCTGGAAAGTCTCCAAAGAAGGAGACTCCACAGCCTCTCTGGGCAGCCTGTCCCAGGGCTCTGTCACCCTCATGGTAAAGAAGTTCTTCCTGATGTTTGAATATAGCATAGACCAGGGGGGTTGTGCTCAGTAAAAGAGGGAATGCAAAAATCAGGAAGAATTCTTTGTTTTTAAAGGCTTCCTCTGCTTTGAAGCCAAGCACAGCAAATCCAATGGGAGAGATCTTCCATTTGGCTTCAGTGAATCTATGAGGTTGCCACTTTTGCTGGCACTGACTGGGATGTGTGTGTGGGTTTCTGCTTCTGTCTGGGCAGCAGGAGTTGTCCTGCACAGAGCCTGTAGTCAGATGGGCACTGGGGCTGGGCTGACTCTCTCTGAAAGCACCAGTGGCTTTTTCTCTGTCCACAACTTTGTTTTTCCTTCTGTGAAGAGCAATGTTTCTGTGGTAGAAAATCCCAGACCATAACAGCATCTGTGTTTTCTTTCAGGCATCAGAGGGTGTTCCTGTGAAGTATTTTGAGAACTTGGAGGAACTGATAGAATTTTACAAGAAGGAGAACATGGGTCTGGTGTGGCACCTCAAATATCCGGTGCCGCGGGAAGAAGAGGAGGCTGTGGATGAGCCAGAGGAGGATGTTGGTAAGAAACTCATGATGTGACTCGGTGGTGCAGATGCTTGACACTAAATCTGGGCTGCAGATTTGCAGGCAGAGGGATTAGAACTTGTCTTGCCATAAAATGGAGCAGCAGAGACCTGAGCTGGCAAGATCCTGAGGCAGTAAGTCATCCTGGCTCTGGGGCTGTACCACACCTGGAGCACCATCTGAGCTCCCCTCAGGGGATGCACAGACTCCCTGCAGACCTTTCCTGTAGCAGGTGCCAGGCTGACTGATCTGTCGTTGTCCATCTGGACTCAGGCTGGTTTATGTGCAGCCATCTCCCACGCCTCTGCACCCCTCTCCCTGCACTGCGTCCATAGGGCTGCTGTCTCAGCAGCAGAGATGCTCCCCTGGAGGCTTGGAGCACATCTCTGCTGTGCCAGGAACCTGCAGATGCTGTGGGTCCTGGTGACCTGACATGCAGGTCCCCTGACCTGTTCTGATCCAGAGGATGTGTTTGAGATGGCAGCCAGAGAGCACAGGCCCCACAGGGGCTGACACTACATGTATTGAGGCAGATGGATGACGAAGTGAGATTGGCATAATCCCAGCTATTTTATGTGCAATGTCACTGTGGGGTCCTGACAGTCACTGGTCTTGGACCCTTCCTTGGATTTTTCCTGGATCATCCCTTGGATCTGTCCTTGTTCTGAATCCCAGGGGAAGGTCGTGCCCACAGAGCCAACCTGCCCCTCCTTCCTGATGTCTGTCAGGAAATGATGAGTGTTACATCAAACCCTGTCTGAAGGACATGGTCCTGTGACAGACAGACAGGCCCAAAAGCAGATTATGCTCATTTATGCAACCCAATGGATCTCTGATAGGAGCTGGAAGATCTTGGTATGCACTTCTCATGAAGAAACAGAACACAGTTTTGCAAAGCTGTGCAGGAAGGATGTTCCTGGTTCCTGGCCAGCAGCTCCGAGTCTCCAGCTCCCAGGGAGGGGGAGGGAACTATGGCAAAAATAATACACAGAGAGGCAAGCAGCAGGGAATTAAGTTCTAGCCAAGACTGAGAGCCTTTAGATGAGGAGATAGGATCCCTGGGGCTGGCCTGCTCATGGGCAGTTTTGTTCTGTTAAGGCACTTTAGTGCCATCGTGCTGGAGCTGTGCAGGGCCTTGCAGACCTGCCCACCCAGCTGGGCATTGCTTGGTGCTGTGCTCGCTCTGTCAATCACAGCTTCTTCCCAGGAGCAATGGTTTGGGTTTGGGGATCTTTTTGTCATGAAAATTCCACCATTTGGAAATAACCAAACGAAACCTCACAACTCAACCACCTACATGTGACAGGTGTAAAAAAGGGTTGGAGCAACTGCTAAGAAAAGAGAGGCAGCCATGGCTGGGGTAACTGGAGGTGAGTCCACCCTTCTCCCAAGAGAGAGAGTATGCTGAGCAGCAGGATCATAAAGCAGGAAAACCCTTGTGCTTCCAACTGGATGCCCACAAAACAAGGCTGGATACTCACCCCCTGTATTGGATTATGGGGTCTGTTTTTTCAATCTGTGTTTGCTTTCTTTAGCTGTTCACTTCTTTGCATTAGCAGCTTCTGGTGCTCTTTCCATCAGGCCCCTCCATCCGTTCTGCCCCAGCAGCAGATCTCCATGGTCATGGTGATGATAGGGATGAGGCACAGCCACGTTCTCTCTGCACTATATTCAAAGTAGATCATCAACCTTCCCAGCTGCTGAGCAGGTGGAGCACTCAAACTGACTGGGTGGAGGTCACCCTGCCAGACAGAGGCACATGCTGCCTGTACATGAGGTCCAAGCCTGGCAGCTCAGCCTGCTGGTCCCAACACTGATATTCCTGAGAACAGGGCCAGGCCACCATCAATCTTCCTGCTTTCTAGCTCTGAAAAGAAGGGGTGGCTTCTGCAGTAACCTCTGCCCTGCTGGGGGGGAGGAGGGAGGTCCAACTGCCATGCTGGGATGACTGTGCCTTTCCCTTCCTCCTTGCCAGACCTGGTACCCACACCTCCCATCCTGCCCCCACGCAACATCCTCATGGCAGTGCCAAGCAGCGAGACAAAGGAGGCTCCTTCTCTCCCTGAAAACTCCAGGGGGGCAGACCTTAATAAACTTTCCCTTTCTGAGACACTACTGCAACGGCTGCAGCACCAGGACACGAGCAGGTGAGGATGGCAAGTCCCAGGGCTGCCAAGTCAGCCTTCAGCCTAGCTTTGAGCTTTCTGGAGCTCTGTCATGGACAGCTGAGGACCTGTCTGAGTCAGTCAAATGAGTTCTGATTTATACTGCCAAATGAAGAACAGAATCAAACCTACAGTGTGATGGCTACTTGCTATAGTCCAGCTGTCACCAAGACAAAAATGCTTTTCTGAACTATTAAAATGACCAATAGATTTTCTCTACTGGTATATAGTTTTTTAATATAGGCATGATCATAGCTGAGAGCAGTCAGTGAGTTACCTGGGTGCCTACACTACAGATTGGATCAGAAAGCACCAGCCAGTCCTAAAATAGCATAGGCTGGTGTGTGGATTTCCAGGCACTCCTACTGATTTACTCCAGCTACAGGTGTGACTGATGCTGTCCCATGTGCCAGCTGGGTCAAACCTGGACATCCATGGGAGCCAAATGATATTGAATTACCAGATCTGCCAAGCTTAAAAAGAAAATAAACATAAAATCAGAGGCATGCCTGCTGGCAGGCAGGGTGGCTGGGAACAGGCAGTGCCCATGTGTGGCAGCACAGGTCCTGTTTTGGTGGCCCAGCTGGCTGACTGGGAGACACCCAGGTTTTGGACTTTCTGTATGTCAGGGCACACAACAGCACATGCAGGCTGCCTGGTCCACCCTCCCTTGTGGTCCTGGAGCCCAGGCACCCCAGAGACAGGGAGGAGGGGAGCACTCTGCACAGCTCTGTAGTCTCAGCCCCCAGCCAAGCTTTTTTGGACTCTTTGGAATAAAACCTTCAAAGTGGGACTTGGTGAAGTGAAAAGGAATCTCCTCCATCTGCCTAGAGCTGTTAGTGGCTTCACAGCAGCCTGGCTTTCCCTGATGGTCCCACCATGCCTTGGCACGGTCCTTCAGCAGGCAGGGAGGGGAGGACTTGGCTGGGGAGGGAGGGGAGGTCAGCAGATGCCAGCAGCGTGCTGGGGGTTCAGGCTCCAATTCTCAGAACTCCATTTTTGCACTGAAGTCTAAGGCAAACTGCCCCTCATCTGTCTGTGCAGAGGAGATTTCAGGATAAGAAAGCATCTGATTCTTGGGAGTAAAGAGAAGAGGTGGCTTTTGACCCGACTGTTTCTTTCCCAGTGTCTCCGATGAGCATCTTAAACTCATCCAGGATTACCTGCGAGTTCACATCACCAGTGACTTTGAGATGGTGCAGACTGGCTCCAGCAATCTTCCTCAACTGAAGAAACTACTTACACTTCTTTGCAAAGGACTCTTCAGGTAACTAGAGGCTGGTCTTCAGAGCTCACAATCTACCATAGCTTCCACGTCCATGCTCCCAGAACCTGCACTGCTGGCGTCAGAAATTGGCCCACCCTACAAACACCATACTATTTAGACATTGTGACCTGTGATTCTTGTCCAAAGGTGTGAAATCTAGATCAAAGACATAGTTCTGACAGTGAGGTTTCCCTGTAGGTGGTTTCAGCCAGTGAAGTATTTTTTATACTTCATAAATGACACCCACACTATTGTCAAGCACAACTCCTTTATGGAAACAAGCACATATTGGTGTATAGCTGTTTTAAACCCTGATTTTACTTCCTACTAATGTACTGTGAACCTGGCCTGGTTCCACTGGTGTCAGTGAAGTCCAGCTCAAATTAAAAGAGGAAGAAGCTCTACAAATTTTACCTCTCCTGTTTATAGACCATTCAGGTCCCAAATAGGAAAACTCCAATAGGGAACTAAAACCTTCCAGAGCTCCCTGTTGCTCTGGTGACAGAATGTGATTTCCCCTTTGCTGCCTGTGATCAAAGGAGGAGATGGGCCCACACTTCTGCAGACACCTTAGTGCAGAGGGCACAAACATCCACACCTGCATCTATTTCTTGCAATATCCTTCTTTGCAGTGTATTATATATATGTATATATATATATATATATATGCAGTGAGGTTGGCAGTGCTGTTGGCCCAGGCCTGTGCTCCTAGGGCTCTCCAAGGCAGAGGAAAGGGCCAAAATGATGGTGTTTCCTGCTGGTTTGCTGAGCTTTAACTTAGGGGAGGAAGGCAGGGAGAGTGAGGTGCTCAGCTGCTTGGGACCAGGGTTACTCCTCAGGGATGTGCACTGCCCATGGCTCACCAGGCAAGGGGAGGAATGTGCAGTTCTGCTCCTGCCAGAAGCAGCTACTCCCTGCAAGGCCGTGGCAGGACTGAGGATGGGCTGTGCAAAGACCTTCCCTTCTTCTGTGCTCCACTGCAGGGTTTTACTTCTCTACACCCACGGAGGTGAGACCCAGGTGGCTAGCTAAGAATAAATCTGAACAATGGAAACTAAAATCTCATGTGCAGTGAGGTTGGCAGTGCTGTTGGCCCAGGCCTGTGCTCCTAGGGCTCTCCAAGGCAGAGGAAAGGGCCAAAATGATGGTGTTTCCTGCTGGTTTGCTGAGCTTTAACTTAGGGGAGGAAGGCAGGGAGAGTGAGGTGCTCAGCTGCTTGGGACCAGGGTTACTCCTCAGGGATGTGCACTGCCCATGGCTCACCAGGCAAGGGGAGGAATGTGCAGTTCTGCTCCTGCCAGAAGCAGCTACTCCCTGCAAGGCCGTGGCAGGACTGAGGATGGGCTGTGCAAAGACCTTCCCTTCTTCTGTGCTCCACTGCAGGGTTTTACTTCTCTACACCCACGGAGGTGAGACCCAGGTGGCTAGCTAAGAATAAATCTGAACAATGGAAACTAAAATCTCATGAAATCTCAAGTGAGAGTTTTGTGTCACTAAAATGCCTCCGGAACTGCTGTTCTGATGCTGACTGCCTTTTTCCATTGCCAACTTTTTTTTCTACTTCACCTTATTTGGGTTTCATAGAATCATATAGATTTCATATAGAATCCAATTTTCAGGTTGGAAAAGACCCTTGGGATCACTGAGTCCAACCATCATCCCTACTCTACAAAAGTTCTCCCCTAAACCACATCCACCAACACCACATCCAAATGACCCTTAAACACGTCCAGGGATGGTGACGCAGCTTTTCACACAGTTCTCATACCAGTACTTGTGCAATTGGATGTGGCTACACAGGTCTCTGACACTTCAGTGAAGATCACCACATATATTTCTCTTATGCTTTCAAGAGAAGAAAACAAAAGGAATTATAAGTGCAATTAAAAAGCACTTTGTGGTTTTGTTGAGTTTGAATTATTGCTGATGCTCTCCCCCCATCCTGATGGGTGTGCTGCACGTTGCACCCTGAAGAGAGGTCAGCTTTCACATCAGAAATGGTTTCTGAACTGCTCCAAGCAGCTGCTGCTCTGTGTTTCCAAGAGGTGGCCTACACATCCTGCACTCCTGGTCATAGTAAATGTCCTTTCATTCCTTTCAAACTGAACTTCAGTTTCAAGTTGCTTCTGTGGCTGCCTGCAGGCTCCTGGGCCTGACTCCATGGCTGCAGAAATCAGCCATGGTTTTGGGCCAGAGCCATTTGCAGTGACACTGACCCTGGGAGATCCATAGCTGAACAGTGGTGTTGGGGGACTGAGTTTATCAGATCTAAGTTCCTACAAGTGTCTCATGTCTTGTCTGTGTGTCCCCTGGCAAGTCTTTCAGACTGAAATGTCACAGTATCACAGAATAGTCTGGGTTGGAAGGGACCTTTAAAGGTCATCTAGTCCAACCCCCAAAATATGAGTGCTTACTTTCAAACAGGAGTGCTTAATTTAGACAATTAATCACCCGTGGTTCAGCACCCAGACAAAAACTCTAATCTTCAGGCAATCATACTTTCTCTTCGGAGCACTTTCCCCAACAAACAGGGAGTAAAGTCCGGTCCATTCAGATATAGGAAAGTGAGGGAAATCATTAATATCCACTGACTACACACAATGCAGGCACCCTAGCACTGCTCCTCACCATCACCTTCCTTTTGACCTGCACTCCCTGGCTGCTCTTTCCGTGATGAGTTTCGCTGTTATCAGAGCACTTTGGCTTCTGTGCCAAATTCCTCCAGCAGCTTTTTGACAAATGAGCATCCTGTGGACTCTAAGAGGGAAATGCTGAAGGAATCTCATTGTAACCCATGGACGGTTCCCGTTCCAGAGATGAAAGGCTGCCTCTCCCAGCCCTGGCTGATGAACAAGCTAAAAATTAGTTTTCTTTTCACCCAGCAACCTGCATCAGCCTGAGCAGCCCTGTGGGGCTGTGAGGACCTGAGTGGCTCCAGCCACCAGAGCATAGAATCATGGAATGGTTTAGGTTGGAAGGGACCTTAAAGCTCATCCAGTCCCACCCCTGCATGGGGAGGGACACGTCCCACTAGATCAGGCTGCTCAGAGCCCATCCAACCTGCCCTTGAACATCTCCAGGGAAGGGGCAAAATTGGCAGCCACCGGCCCCTGCAGGGCTGCAGAGTGTGCCTGGGAGTTGGTGTAGTTGGGTTGCTGCTGGTTTTACACGGTGTCCTCTGGTGTGGCCCCAACTGGGACATCTTTCTAGGGTGATTTTAGAGGGTACCACCTCTAAAGCAGTGCCTGAGGAAGGGCTGATGTCCTGTGCCTCAGCCCTTGGCAGGCATGGTCAGCAGCCAAGCTCTGAGCTGTGCCACGGCGGCAGCTGGGGTGGGCTCGGAGGGCAGCACGCAGCCCAGGACACTCACAGGGCACATGGCAAATGCCAGCCTGGTGCCAGTGAGTGCCTGAGGGCTCTGCACATGCCTGTGCCCCAAGAGCCTGAATGCTGACCTACCAGGGACCCGCCAGCACCTCAGGGCTCTGCCATGTCTCTTCTGTTCCCAGTGAAGCCTCTAGGACGCTCCCATCTCTGGAGTCCATCCAGAAGGTGTTTGAGCAGCAGCTGCACCCTGGTATCCATCAGCGCTCACAAGTATGTTGGTGGGAAGTTGGGAAAGGAGGGGGAAGGCTTAGGGGGCGGTCAGCACAGGGAGGGGGGTCACACAGCTCTGGGGTTCGGGTGCTCAGCCCTCACCTCTGCTGTGCCTGCAGTGCAGCAGGCACACCGGGACTCCTGCCCCCAGGGCTCCACTTACCCCCCAGTCCCCTCTGCGTGCTCCCCTTCCTGCCCCAGGGGAAGGGCAGCAAACTGCCTGAGGACCAATCTCTCCCCATCCTCCTCCAGCCTGTAGGCCAGGACTGCACATAACAAACTTCATACAAACCCCATAAACTTCACTCCAGGGTGTTTTGCTGCCAGATCCTTCCTTCCCGCACCCTGTTAAGTCCCATGACCTTCCTCTCCCTGCCAGTAGCCCAGGAAAGCAGAAGTCCAGGGTTGCTGGATGTTGAGTACTAGACCTGGTGATGCAGACTTGTTCCCCAGCAGCTGGGCAAGCTGACCCCCTTGCTGGGCAAGCCTTGCCAGTCTGTCCTTCCACTCTCCCCTGCCTCTGTGTGCTCGGCCAGACCCCATGTCCTCATGCTGCCCAGGATGGAGCAGCATGGTGGAGGCAGCCCTGTGTGCCAGGCTCCCTGTCCCTTGGGTGAGGCTGTGGTGCTTCCAGCCTTGTCCATGGGTCAGTCATTATCCAGCTCTCTTTTCTTTCTGTGTTGTGGGTCTCAGATGCTCGGAGAAACCAGTCCAGTCAGTATCGTGTTGAAACTCAATCAGCTTATTTCTTTGCTGACTTCCATTGAAGAAAAGGTAGAGTTTTAAACCTATTTTACATTCTCTTCTTGTCCTCTTTGGCCTCTAGTTTTGCTCCTTGTGCCTCACCAGTGCAACCCTCTGCTACAGGAAGATCTCTTTGCTCTGACTTCTTTGCTCTCAGTGCAGTGCAGTCACCAAGTGCCACTCAGTGCACACACATTCTTTTACAGGTGAAAACGCTGCTGATCGAAGGTCCTGATTCTACACACCGACGCTCCCTTATCCCCCCTGTCACTTTTGAGGTAAATGTCCTTCTTTGAAATCACTGATCACGATGTGGAAGGACAGTAAAGCAGATTTATGTCAGTATCTCAGCTCCCTGGAACTTGGCTGTGCTGCCACCAAGCTATCAGCTATTCCTGGATGCTGTTTAGCACCATGCAAATGCTTCCAAGATGTCTAGTGGGATTGTCATAAGGATGATATGTGCCCATGAATTCAGGCAAGTGCTGCATTTGTCACACATGTGACTGGAGGAAAGAGGATCGCTTATGAGACATCTCTCTGTTTTCCAATAGGTGAAAGCTGACTCCTTAGGAATCTTCTCAAAAATACATCTCAAGGTTGATGTGGAAATGGGAAAACTGATCATCAAGAGAGCTAAGGATGGGCCAGAAGACAAGTGTTACACCCACAAGAAAAGTAAGATGCTGAAGGTCACAAATGCTGAACTAGGCTTTTGGTCCCTTGGGTTATGGGAAGGGTTTCCCTTTAGACCCCTGAGGGCAAGGTTTGGCCCAGAGAGCAGGTATTTCACAGACCTGGCCTCCTGGTCTAAATGAAAACTCTTGCAAAGGAGCAGGTTTTGATAGAAAATACCCTGTAGAGCTGATTGCAATAGACCCATTTTCTACTGGAAAGCAATATGAGTGGAAAAAAACCCAACACATTCTGCAGGAACATACTGGCTCCTGTGGTGATTTTTGATGGTAAAAAGCCAAATACTTGGTTTCAGTAACATTTTGCAGTGAAGTTCTCCTGGTTTTTTGTTGTTTGTTGTTTGTTTTTTATTTGGTATGCAAATCAATATCTCTACTAATGAGCAATTCCAGTGTGGTCTGTGAAGGCTCTATATAAGCAACTTCCTTTATTTTCTGCTGTGTTTCTGGACAGGCAGCTCACCAAGATTGAGCCAAACATGGTAGGATTTATCAGAGAATAAACGATGACCTTGGGTTCTCTCCTGCTAGGAAGTCAACCTGTTCCTGGCAGTGATTGAGAAGATGAGCTCTCATGTCTGGCTTTCTCCAGCTGGTGTTCATGATTACTGAGCTGCTATTTTAGGTGGGGAGGACTCACCTTGACCACCAGTGGGGCTACACCTCCTCTTTCACAGATGGAGAAGGAATACATGTAGGCTGGCTCAGGAGACAGAGGTTGCCTGCGGGAAGTCATCGCTTCACTTCAGATTGCAGGGCTTGGGATGGGCAACAGCTCCAGGCAGAAGGACTTTCAGGGGTCATCTTCAGAGTCCAAATTTACTCCTGTAGGGAACAGGACTAAGCAACATGATAATGCAGTTTTTCAGAGCACATAGAAGCCCTGAGTCTCTGAGCAGGAGCCCATTAGCTTTGGTGGGATTCTAGTTTCAGTGACTGCAGCTCATGACACACACTCTCTGTTCAGTCTTGCAGCTTATCAAGTCCCAGAAGGTCCCAAACAAACTGGTGATTGTGCTGGAAACAGAAAAAGAGAAAACACAGAGGAAGGAATATGTTTTTTCTGATTCTAAGGTATGTACCCAACATTCCCTTCCTGCCAGCTTGGAGCAGGTACCTCGGTGGGGGTGGTACAAGGGGCATTCTTTGGCAGAGAGGAACTGTTGAAGGATGGTGGTTGGCCTTGAAAAAATGAAATCTCTTCTTTGTTCTGGAAACATCCAGACAATGAGCAAGTGTACTGTGTAAAGGGAGAGGGAAGACACACCTAGGTGCTGTCACTGAGGCAGTAGAACAGTGTCAGCAAGCAGTGAGAAGAGGCAAGGTGAGGGTGGCTGCTCATACAGACCAACAAGAGGCAAATCTAGACCATCTTCTGACCAGCTCAGCACTTGTTGAAGTAATGCACAAGCAAAGTGCCTGAGAAACTACCACAAGAAAGGCAGCCTCTCCAAGGTTTCAGGATAGTGTTTTCTGGCTCAGCTGGTTTTTCAAGAGGTTGCTGTTGGAGAAGTTATGCATCTCAGTAATTACCTCTGATCCTCCCTGTCTAGAAGAGAGAAGGGTTCTGCCAGCTTCTGCAGCAGATGAAGAATAAACACTCGGAGCAACCAGAGCCTGATATGATCACCATCTTCATTGGGACCTGGAATATGGGTATGGGCTCCCTCTGACATGGGCGTCCCCTCAGACACTTGCCGAAATGTATGTTCACCTGCCTTGCTGAGCTCCAGACACTGTGCTTATTCTGTAGCAGTTCTGCACACCAGGGCTGTCTTCTACTGGCACAGAGGAAGAGCTTATCTCTAGGCTTATTCTTGTACACTTTTATGGTTCCTGTCCAAGGACCATAAAGTTGGCCCTGAGGAGTTCCGAAGGATTCCCCCAGTGACAGGAAGCTGTGGCTGGCACAAAGCTGGTGCAGCAGCATGTGCTCTCCTCCACCTTGCAGAAAGGGCAGGAGCAATTCCAATAACTGCACGTCAGCTGCTTCTGAACCTGTCTAGAGTTATTTTCCCTATTTTGGGAGAAACGTCTGGTTCACCTGCTGTCAGCTGAGCTGTCTGTGCTCAGTCCTATGGAAGCATTAAGGTAAAGGCAGTGGCAGGTCTGGAGTCTCCCAGCCTTTGCCCTGAGCTGGCCTTGGCCTTGGTAAGCTCATGAAACAGAGGAAGATGGTCAAAGCAGAGTCACTCCTCCTTCAGTCAGGCAGGTGAGGTTAACATCTTTGTCATCTTAGAACAGTGTGCCCTGGCTGATACGAAACTGAGCCAAGACAGTAAAAGTGAAACCTGTTATTTCTGTCCCCATGGGCTTTCAGTGTCCTGGGTTTGAATACAGAACATACTCTGACTTGCTTTGGTGTTTGATCTGTTATTAAAAGGTGCTGCACCTCCCCCAAAGAAGATCACCTCCTGGTTTCTCTCCAAGGGGCAGGGGAAGACCCGTGATGACACTGCTGACTACATTCCTCATGACATCTATGTGATTGGCACCCAGGAGGATCCCCAAGGGGAGAAGGAATGGCTGGAGACCCTGAGGCAATCCCTGCAGGAGATCACCAGTATCAGCTTCAAAGTGGTGAGATTTTATTCCAGCTATTGTGCTTAACTCAGGCATGTGAGGAGAGGACATGTTGTGCATATAAAAGAGAGGAGAAAGTGGCATTTTGCCTACACCTCCTCCCCTGTGTTGTCATTGCATTTGAATGAGGGAGAGTGAATTGAATCTGTCTGTGGACTCCTCGAGAGCCTGCCGTGGAGCTGCCTATGTGGTCATGTTGCTATGGACAGTCCCCCCCTGCCAAAGCAGGGACCCTGACATGAGGCTCCTCTGCCTTGGAGCCAGGGGCAGATGCTGAGCACCTGAGTCAAGTGGTGGTGATATTTTGACCTTCATCAGGGAGGAGACTATAAACTTCCTGAGCCAGATATAGCCTAGATCTCACCCTAGGCTATTGCACTTCCAAAATAGGATGTAACACCACACAGGCACCATCACAGATTGAACCCTACCACCACCAGGTTCAGGTTTGGACATTCCTGAGTTTCAGTGATGTCAAGAAACAAATCTAAGCATATGTGGAAGGCCATAGGAGAACAGGACTTGAGTCACAGGGTGCTTGGGAAAGTGTATGTTGTGCAAGCAAGGCAATCCAATGATTGACTAGAAAACAGCAGGAGAGAATAGCTAGGTCCTTCCTCCCACCTTTGATTAAAATGCCTGAGAGCAAACCCTGAGCACAGGAAGAAAATTTGTGTAGGAGAAGTACTACAGAAGGAGTCAGGAAGGCTGCAGCTACAGCACAGCTCACAGGTATCTGCAGAAATATAACCCCTAACCTTCCCATCTCTGCAGATAGCAATCCATACCCTCTGGAACATCAGGATTGTTGTACTGGCCAAGCCAGAACATGAGAACCGTATCAGCCACATTTGCACAGACAATGTGAAGACAGGCATCGCCAACACGCTGGGTGAGGAACCCACCAAAATGACCAAGATCTGCTCAGTCTCTGCCAAGACTGGCCTTGAAATGAGCAGTTCTTTCTGCGCAGGAATCCTTTGACTATGTTCATGTCACACGAGGGTTACTAAAGTTATATCCCACTAACACTGACTACATCTTGCCTTGAAAGAGAGGAAATCTGTGTGTATGCTTAGCACATATCTTTATATCTTTTTATTCCCAGCAAGACCCTCTGACTGGCTATGGGATCGCTCTTCCTTGGGTTGCACAAGGAAACTGCACTTCTTTCTCTTTGACTAACTTGTTTAGCATCCTTAGAAATTCATTGCCACAATCTGTGCTGTATGTATGATTCTTTCTGTGCTGATTAAGTCAACCTATTTTTCCTTTCCATCCTCCACTTCACTTCAGATGTGCTGAGAGCTTTATTATCCTCGCTAGACTCAGCCTGGAGGTGGATTGATTTCTTGACATTTTTGGCTTCTCTTTCCCAGGTAATAAAGGAGCTGTGGGGGTGTCATTCATGTTTAATGGAACCTCCTTTGGGTTTGTTAACAGCCATCTGACTTCAGGAAGCGAAAAGAAACACAGGTAAGATACATCCTCCCCTCTCAAAGTGGATGTTGACCCCAGTTAAATCCTCCGGGCTGTGCTTGGAAGGAGGGCCCAGCAGGCAGTCAAGCATGTTTTTCTGACCATGAATGTTTGTTAAATATCTTCTGGGAGGGCAGGAGACTGTGCTAAAGATCCCAACCACTGGGTCACCATTTAAGAGACTTCTGTTATATGACCATAACACATAAGTGCAGGTGAAAGGGACAGGAGAATTATTTCAGAACCTTGTGTAAAGGTCTTCCAGAACACTTGTAGGACCTGTCATGCAAGCCCTGTACATCAGGAAATAGTTCCCTGAAGTTCAGTGTTTTTGGAGAGATGCAGGAAGGCTTTTCCCATCCCAGAATAACATGCTGAAGGGCACAGTCTGCCTGCTGCAGGCACAGGGCCTTTGCCACTGATGGAGTTAACTTCTGTGGAATGGTCCCCCAGGGTGTGGAGTAGCTGCCACAACCTCATTTTGTGTTTGCTGCTGAAAGCTGAAGGCAACAGCCTAACACTGGGTTTCTAGGACATGCAGCTCAGAAAAGCACAGCCTCAGGAGGCAACAAAAGGCTTTGGGACAGCGTTGTGGCCTTTCAGTTCAGGTGGGAACAGCGTGAGAGCCAAGCAGCAGGGCCCTCCTGCCCCTCTCCCCGGGCTGCCCAGGCCATCAGCTGCAGCACCAGAGTTGGTATCCCCGAGGGGGTCGGTCACCCCAGACACTAGCACGGGACCTCGGCTTGTCTGCCAGCGTCTGGTGCCGGGCAGGGGGCAATCTCAGCTGCTGATCTGCTCTTCCCCAGATGTGGGGCTGGGTGGGCTCCTGCCAGCCCAGGGGCAGCTCTGTCCCCCGGGAGCCCCGCGGCTGCACCTGTGTCAGTCAGAGGGTTCTTGTCTCCACAGACGCAACCAGAACTACACGAGCATCCTGCGCTTCCTGACACTGGGAGATAAGAAGCTGAGCCCTTTCAACATCACCCATCGCTTCACCCATCTCTTCTGGCTGGGAGACCTGAATTACCGCGTGGAGCAGCCCCCGGCGGTGAGGGACCCCTGCCAGGCCCCGGGGGGACACAGCAGCTACTGCAGGAGCATGAGGCTTTTCTAACCTCGGGCACATGGCAGGAAGGGTGGCAGCAAGAGGGAGGCAGAAGGGATCCCCAGGCACGAGGGTGGCACCAGCTGAGGAGCTGTGAGGAAGCCCCTTTGCCCTCTCCAAGGATTGAGGGGTGCAGAGCACGCCAGGAATGCTCCTGGCACACTGTGCTGCTCCTGGCAGCATCACTTCTCCAGACCTCCCAGCTCTCCCTCCCTCTGTGAGCAGACATCTGTCCTGAGCAGCCTGATCCAGAGATGGTCTCTCTGCTCTCTTTGGTGAGCTCTTGGTGGCTTGGAATAGGCCTGCAGAAACAGGCAGGCCATAGTAAACACTGGGTCAGTGTCAGGAGGTGGGAAATGTGGTGTTGAAGTGCCAGGTGTTGATGTGCATCTGACACTGTGTGCTCATGTAGGGGATGTGTGGGCATCTTGATGCCTGTGTCGACAGACAAATGCTCAGCCAGGCAGCAAAGACCTTCAGTGAAGGGAGAGGTGGGGAGTGGCAGGGGGTACAGCGCTGTGGAACAGTTCAGAAGCACTTTCTGGCTCACCAGCAAAGTGAGTCTTTTTAAAAAGGTTTTGCATCATCTCCAGCTCTGCTGTTTCCCTGTTGGCAGGAAGCAGAGAATATTATCCAGAAGATCAGGCAGCAGCAGTATCCGGAGCTGCTGGCATTCGACCAGCTTCTCATTGAGAGAAGGGACCAAAAGGTGTTTCTGCAGTTTGGTAAGGTTCTGAGTTTACTGGCAGGTGTTCCCCCATTGCCAGTGGCTCTGCCCACCTTGCCATGGGGCAGGGGTACAGAGCAGTGGCTGTCTTGCCCAGGGGAGGGGTCTCAATGGGCCAAACTGTCTCAGAGCTATCTCTGTTTTAGAGGAAGAAGAGATCACTTTTGCTCCCACCTACCGTTTTGAAAGAGGAACCCGGGAGAAGTATGCTTACACCAAGCAAAAAGCTACAGGGGTAAGTGAAAACTGGTTTCCTTTCAGAAGCAGGGAAAATAACTCCTACAGAGAAAAGTGACCTAAACCAGTCTGCATTTTCTCTGCCCTTGTAGTGCTTTGAAAGGAGTCAATACAAACAATGAAAAAAAAATTGTCACAAAAATATGGTTCCTGGGCAAGTGAATTTCCTGTTCTTTTGTGACCTGGTTCTTTCCTTTCTTCTTGACATCCCTTCTCCTTTTGTTTGCAGATGAAGTACAATTTGCCATCCTGGTGTGATCGAGTACTCTGGAAATCATACCCCATGGTGCACGTTGTGTGTCAGTCTTATGGTGGGTAGATAACAGATTGTAGATAGCAAAGCAATCCATCTGAAACGGAAATGATTCAGTGCAGAGTCTGCAGGATCTCCCTGCACTGCCAGGCGCTCCGCAGAGGGACCTGATGTTATACCAGGCAGAGTGGAGCCAAATCTCTCTGCCTGTAGCCTCGAAGGGTTGGGAGTTAATTGTTGCTCTTTGACACGTAGAATGCCACTCAGGCAGCTGCAGCTGTCCAGCTTTTGGCCACGCTGTAGGATCACTTTATACCAGTTATTTCTTGGCAACAGCCACTTTGCCCCTGCAGTTACCTTCAGGAGTCTTCACTTGATGGTGCCAGCAGGGCAGACTCTGTATACACAGTCTGCAGAGGCTGGAGCTGCAAACATCTCTCTTCTCTCAAATCATATTCCAGAAGGACTGTGTGGCACCAAAAGCTTGTTCCCTTTCTTGCTGAGAAGCATCACAAAAGTGCAGAGCAGGGAAGAGAGGAAGCCCACAAAACCTGTGTAAAAAAAGACTCGGAGACTAGTTCCTGATATTTCATCAGTGAAAGGACCAAGTGTCTGAGCATGATGCTGATGTTTTCCAGTGCATGGATTGAGAAGAGGGCTGTAGAAGTCTCTTGGAGGAGGAGATGAGCTGATCTGATCACAGAGCCTGTGATGGGGAGATATGTGGTCAAACAAGCCCCTCTAGAAAGTCTGACACCTGCTTTCAAAGCCTGTTCTGCTGGATGGAGCTCACTGGAGCTCACTGTGTGCTCAGGGCAAGTCAAGACCCTGGTCACTCCCTGTTAATCCAGGGCCATGGGTTGCTCTGAGCAGGTAGTACCCAAAGTAGCACCACTGTATTTGTGTGTGATTTCCTGCCACGTTAGAGCTTTCATTCACTGAGCACGTTACAGAGACAACCAGCCCAAAAGTGCTTTTTGTACTGGGGGAATCCAAAACAGACAGTCACTCAAAAACAACAAGGGAAAGCTGTGTCCATTGACCAAAGATGTATGTATTTTGACAAACAAGTTACATTCCTATGTACTCACATGAACTTGTGTAGAAACACCTTTGACTAGAACCAGTTACCACAGCGACAGTGAAGTGTTCTGAAGAATGACTGTTATTTGCACAGCAGTTCTCTGGGTGGGGCAGGACCTGGGCCAATAACTATTTCTCCTTTCTCGTTGGCAGGCTGCACCACTGATGTCCTGACAAGTGACCACAGCCCTGTCTTTGCCACCTTTGAAGTGGGAGTCACCTCGCAGTTTGTTTCAAAGAATGGTTAGTCAGGCTGGGTGCAAGGGTGCTGCCCTCACCTTTGGGTGCAGAGTGCAGTACTTTGTATAGAGTTGAAAGCAAAAGCAGGTTCTGCTTTTTTTGTCCACTCAAAAATGCCCTCACTTTATCTCCTACTGAAAATGCCATTATTTTCCCTTCCTCTTTCCTAGATTCCAAATACATGGATTTCCAAGGGGAGATAGAGTTCCTGCACTGCTATGCTACACTAAAGACAAAGTCCCAGACGAAGTTCTATATTGAGTTTCACTCTAGCTGCTTAGAAAGTATGGTTTTGTACATCTATATTCTTTCTGACAAGGTTCCTTGCTTGTATGGATTGGCTCCCCTTCCTCTTGCTTTGATCTACATAAATAGCTGTGTGGATCACTTGCTCCATCAGCCCTACACCCCCATGACCACTAAACCCCCTCCCAAAGCATCATATCTACCCCTTTTTTTAACACCTCCAGGGATGGTGTGTCCACCACCTCCCTGGGCAGCCTGTTCCAAGGCCTCACCACTCTTCCTGTGAAGACATTTTTCCTAATATCCAGCCTGAACCTCCCCTGGCAAAGCTTGACCCCATTTCCTCTTGTCCCATTGCTGGTCACCAGGGAGAAGAGCCCAACACCCACCTCTTTACAACAGGGAGCTGTAGAGAGCAATGAGGTCTCCCCTCAGCCTCCCCTTCTCCAGGCTGAACAGCCCCAGCTCCCTCAGCCTCTCCTCATCAGACCTATTCTCCAGACCCCTCATCAGCCTTGTTGCTCTTCTCTGCACCCTCTCCAGCACCTCCATGTCCTTCCAAAGCTGCACCCAGGGCTCGAGGTGCAGCCTCACCAAGGCTGAGCAGAGGGGCAGGATCATCTCCCTTGTCCTGCTGGTCAGTGTTCCTGATACAGGCCAGGATGGTGGTGGCCTTCTTGGCCACCTGGGCACACACTGGCTGCTGTCAACTAGCAGCCCCAGGTCCCTGTGCTGGGCAGCTCTCCAGACACTCCTCCCCAAGCCTGTAGAGCTGCCAGGGGTTGGTGGGAGATATGTGGTCAAACAAGCCCCTCTAGAAAGTCTGACACCTGCTTTCAAAGCCTGTTCTGCTGGATGGAGCTCACTGGAGCTCACTGTGTGCTCAGGGCAAGTCAAGACCCTGGTCACTCCCTGTTAATCCAGGGCCATGGGTTGCTCTGAGCAGGTAGTACCCAAAGTAGCACCACTGTATTTGTGTGTGATTTCCTGCCACGTTAGAGCTTTCATTCACTGAGCACGTTACAGAGACAACCAGCCCAAAAGTGCTTTTTGTACTGGGGGAATCCAAAACAGACAGTCACTCAAAAACAACAAGGGAAAGCTGTGTCCATTGACCAAAGATGTATGTATTTTGACAAACAAGTTACATTCCTATGTACTCACATGAACTTGTGTAGAAACACCTTTGACTAGAACCAGTTACCACAGCGACAGTGAAGTGTTCTGAAGAATGACTGTTATTTGCACAGCAGTTCTCTGGGTGGGGCAGGACCTGGGCCAATAACTATTTCTCCTTTCTCGTTGGCAGGCTGCACCACTGATGTCCTGACAAGTGACCACAGCCCTGTCTTTGCCACCTTTGAAGTGGGAGTCACCTCGCAGTTTGTTTCAAAGAATGGTTAGTCAGGCTGGGTGCAAGGGTGCTGCCCTCACCTTTGGGTGCAGAGTGCAGTACTTTGTATAGAGTTGAAAGCAAAAGCAGGTTCTGCTTTTTTTGTCCACTCAAAAATGCCCTCACTTTATCTCCTACTGAAAATGCCATTATTTTCCCTTCCTCTTTCCTAGATTCCAAATACATGGATTTCCAAGGGGAGATAGAGTTCCTGCACTGCTATGCTACACTAAAGACAAAGTCCCAGACGAAGTTCTATATTGAGTTTCACTCTAGCTGCTTAGAAAGTATGGTTTTGTACATCTATATTCTTTCTGACAAGGTTCCTTGCTTGTATGGATTGGCTCCCCTTCCTCTTGCTTTGATCTACATAAATAGCTGTGTGGATCACTTGCTCCATCAGCCCTACACCCCCATGACCACTAAACCCCCTCCCAAAGCAACATATCTACCCCTTTTTTTAACACCTCCAGGGATGGTGTGTCCACCACCTCCCTGGGCAGCCTGTTCCAAGGCCTCACCACTCTTCCTGTGAAGACATTTTTCCTAATATCCAGCCTGAACCTCCCCTGGCAAAGCTTGACCCCATTTCCTCTTGTCCCATTGCTGGTCACCAGGGAGAAGAGCCCAACACCCACCTCTTTACAACAGGGAGCTGTAGAGAGCAATGAGGTCTCCCCTCAGCCTCCCCTTCTCCAGGCTGAACAGCCCCAGCTCCCTCAGCCTCTCCTCATCAGACCTATTCTCCAGACCCCTCATCAGCCTTGTTGCTCTTCTCTGCACCCTCTCCAGCACCTCCATGTCCTTCCAAAGCTGCACCCAGGGCTCGAGGTGCAGCCTCACCAAGGCTGAGCAGAGGGGCAGGATCATCTCCCTTGTCCTGCTGGTCAGTGTTCCTGATACAGGCCAGGATGGTGGTGGCCTTCTTGGCCACCTGGGCACACACTGGCTGCTGTCAACTAGCAGCCCCAGGTCCCTGTGCTGGGCAGCTCTCCAGACACTCCTCCCCAAGCCTGTAGAGCTGCCAGGGGTTGTTGTGGCCCAAGTGCAGGACCCACCATTTGGCCTTATTGAAACTCATGCCGTTGGCCTTGGCTCACCAATCCAGCCTGTCCAGATCCAGAGGGATGTAACACCAGCTCCCTGCCTGGTATGAAGCTCTTCCCCATCCCAGGACTGCTCCCATAAGTGGCACAGCCTGCCTGCAGTCTGTGCTTCATCACATTAGTGCCTGTCAGAGAGCTGTGTGAAAGACAGTTCCATAAAAGATAATTCTTTGGCTATATCAGAATTTGCATAAATTTCTATGGAAACAGTGTATTACGAATCTTAAATTAGACTTTCAAAAGTGTGCTATCTTGAGTGCCGTGGGAAGAGCTGACATGTTCTTATCCTCCATTCCATGTATGCACTGAGCTTTTCAGTGCCAAGTTGAGCTGTAAAATAAAACCATTGAGCAATGCTCCAGTAAAATAATTTTTATATTTACTGTGTAAACACTCGCCCAAAGCTCAGACTTTAAGCTTCATAATATTTTTAAAACTTGTGTCCAAGTGGGAAAATAATTGTAGGCCTTTTGGAGATCTAGCCTCTGGAAAGGACTGGGAGGTGGTAGAGTCACCATCCCTGGAGGTATTCAAGAGATGTGTAGATGTGGCCCTTCAGAGCGGGCTAGTGGGCATGGGGAGTTTTTTGTGGGCTGTGGTTGGTTTTGTGGGGTATGTGGTTATGGTTTTGGGGGGGGGGGGGGGGGGTTGGGGGGTTTGTTTTTGGGGTTTTTTTTTTTTGGTTTGGGTTTGTGTTTTGTTGTGTGTTGTGGTTTTTTGGTTGGTTGGTTGGTTTTTGTGGTTATTTTTCCCTGGGTGGATTGTTAGACTTGATCTCAGAGGTCTTTTCCAGCTGTGCCAGTTCTGTGATTCGTAGCCAAGTTCTTGCTGTCTCTCTTCTGGTGAATTCCTTTCCCATCACTCTGCAGGTTTTGTGAAGAGCCAGGAAGGAGAAAACGAGGATGGGAGTGAAGGGGAGCTGGTGGTAAAGTTCATTGATGCACTTCCAAAGGTAAACTGGGACTATGTTTCCATACCCATGTAGAAGAGAAACCTTCCACTTTTATGTACATAAACATTCTTTTCAGGGACATGGTTGTGGTCTTGTTTATGCTCAAAAGAGTCTGTACGAACGCAGGATGGGCTGAAGCTAAACAGAGTTTGTTATAAGCAGGAAAGGGCTTTCCTGCCAATATACTTTCATCTGCATCAGGAATTTTGCTGGCATGATTATGTCACTCCGGAGCATGACTTTTTTCTCACATTTTTAATGAACACAACTATGCTGACCAGTCATTTAAGCAGGCCTGGTTTTTTTTAAGTTTTAAATGAAGATTAAAAAGAATAAAAAGTAACTCTGCCCTGGAGTTTCTTCTCCTTGTCAAAGTTTTTTCTTGGTAGTTTTTGGAAAAGTTGACAAAGTATTTTTTACCTGTGTTAAAAAGACCATCAATGGCCAGAGTAGAGTTGTGTGTGTCAGTGTCAGAGCCATGTACTACCCTTGAGGCCAGAGCTGTTCTCCATTTCCTGATCTGGGGGGAGCTGGAAGAACTATCAGAGCTCCTGGATTTAGAGCAATGTCAGAACCCTTCTGAATAGCCCAGAACTGCTGACTTTGGAGGGTGCCTTACACTGAGAGACTTGGGAAAGACTCTACAACAAGTGATTGGAACAACAGCCAAACAGATTTTGGGGACCTGACTGTCATCAGAGTCCAAATCCCTTCCCCCTAGAGCTATTTTCAATCCTGCACTGCAGGAGAGAACTGCAGCTCAGCCAGTGAGCCAGCTCCTCTGCTGTACTGAGAGCAATGGAGGGGGGGACACACAACTCTGAAAGTGTACAGCCTTCTACCCCAGAACTCTACACATCATCAGAGAGGCTGATCCGGGGGTGACACGGTGCCCTCGTGGGTTTGTGTAGCTGAGCTCTGCCCATCTGGGACTGAGGCACAGGGAGAACTGTGTTGATGCAGATCTCCTATTGTATTGACCCCCATTAACTTGTCTTTGCAGCTGACTCCAATTATTTCAGACCCAGAATACCTATTGGATCAACACATCCTGATAAGCATTAAGTCATCAGACAGTGATGAATCTTATGGTAAGTGCTTAGCTCCAAAGTTCTGGATGAGTCAAAATCTACTTTGATTTTTCCAAAGTGCTGAAAGAGTGGGAGAAAACAGAAGTAACTGTTAAAGATTGAACATCAATGATGCTCTGACTTTTGATTTGGAACTTAATACCTACAAAATACATTGTGGGCAACAGTTTGTGAAGTAGTGATGCTTAGAGGAATATGAACTAGAAACAACAATCTGTGTGAGCTTCACCAGCCCTGAAAGAGCAATGGCTTAAGGAGAATGTACTTTTAAGGAATTAAATCAGGAGTCAGTCATTGAAATGGGTCTATTCAGAACACACAGCTCCTGTTTCACTTGCACATACTTGATGCATTTCTCCTGGCTACAGAAGTCGTCGTCAGTGCTGCTTGCTTCCAAATTCTAACCAGCCAGAAGCTGCAGTCCTTGTCCACATAAGGCTTCTTGCCCCAATCCCATTAAGTGAAATAGCATCACAAGCTCCTCTTTTCCTTACCAGTAATGGAAGCTCAGAACCCTGGGGTCACCCGCAGGTGTCTCCAGTGCCCAAATCCTTCACGCACGTCAGAAGTTAAATGAATGCCAAGATTTCTCGAGAGATCACACCTTGCTGTGATCCAAAGCAGATTTTCTCCAGTAATCTGAGCCCTGTCAGCACATTGAGAGTAAACGACTGACATGAAAAAGAGATTTCAATGCTTTTTTTTCTCAGCCCCTTGCTCTTTGTCTCTTTTTTGTTATCTAGGGGAAGGTTGCATTGCCCTGCGAGTAGAAGCAACAGAATCCTTAGTTCCTATCCATACTGTGCTGACACACCACGGTGAGAAAACAGGGGTCTTCCAAGGTGAAATCAAGCTACAAACATCTCAAGGAAAACAGAGAGAGAAACTGTATGGTAAGGAAAGATACCATCTCTGCTCTGCTCACTCTAGAGAATATTCATCTCTAAAGATTTCTGGTAACTGTCAAGAAACTGAAAACTCTCCTTGCAGTGTTTTTAGTCCCAAAGAGGCAAGAGCTTTTGATGCTGACTGCAAGCATTGGTTCTCAGAAGCATACCTGTACTCCTTCAGGAAGACAAAATCATTCCATTTGGGCTTTTCTTTTTCATCATTCAAGCAAATTCTGCAGAGTGAGAGAGCCCCCTGTCTGTCACTGATACTGATTTCACTGTCCCCCATCTCCACTTGCAATGGCTATCTGATGAGGTGCAGAGGCTCCCCCTGTTCCAGTCACCCTGGGAACATCTGCAAAAAGCATGTGAGGTTTTTCAGCTAAAATATTGCAAACTTTGATAATTGTCACTTCGTTGCCTGTTGCTCTCTTTCAGAGTACAAAAGCAGCCTCAAGACACCGTCAATGCTAAAATGACCTGTAATGACTGGAGATCACAACCTTTGCATTTTAAGATACACGCTTATTCCTGTGCCAACAAAACATGATATGTATTACTGGGCAGTGGAAAACGTATTGGCAGCAACTGTTTAAAACCATCTCACTGTTTTTCTGGTAGACAGATGCCTGAATAGCAGCAGTAACACAGAGACCTGAGGGATTCAGACTCTGAAGTTGCCAAAACACTTTTTCATGCCTTCCCTTTCCTTCAGATTTTGTCAAGATTGAACGTGACGAAATCATCGGGCAGAAGCCAAAGAACATCAGCAACTTAGAGCCTAGCAAAGACTGGGATCACACTAACAGGTAATGGGCAAATGGGTAAATCATTTCAGAAAATTAGTTGGCTCAATACATGCCAGGCTGGGCTTGCTGTGGGAGCAGTATTAATGGGCATGGTGAGCACTGGGAAGCTGCCTTTGTCCCTGGGTCTGGTCAATGCTTCTGTCCCCAAAGCTTCAAAAGCTGAAACACACTAGTCAGACTGGGTCCTTGCACCCCAGTTCAAAAGGGCTCTTTTCTTTCCAACAGAAAGTCAAAATCTACTCATCTGATGGCCAAGGAGGCAGCAGCCATTGCGCGCTGCCGGGGGAGTGCTGCTCCTTCTCCAGAGAACCCAGGAAAGGACGACGTGTTACGGTAATCTTGCTGCTTGGCCTCTGCCAGCCTGGGCTGGGAAGCTGTGCTCAAGCTGCCTGCTTTCTTTCCTGCCTCCTTTCCAGGAGCCCTGGGACACTCTGGGAAAGGCTGTCCTTCCTTCCACTTGGGTTCCACAGCTGTATGGCTTGGCAGGCAGCTGCCTGCCTCCTGCCTGCTAGTCTATGAGTATCCTTCAAAAGGCCAGATGTCTCCCCTGTTGTCCTAGCAGCATATCCCTTGGCTTCACAGTGCTGCCCAGTGCTGGGATGTGCCTCTTGCCTGGATCTGTCCTGCTGCAGCTGCCCAGAAACCTGAAAAAGCCCCTGTGTGTGGCTGCACAAGCCAAGTACCTCTGCAGCCTGGAAACTGAAATGTCTTCCACAGCCACAGGGACTATCTGGGGCTGGGGAAGGGAGCCATGACCCAGCTGCTTCCTCTCCAGTGGCCTGGGGAGGGAGGCATTAGCAAGACTCCCACTTATTTTCTGAATCTGAAGCAACAGTGACAAAAAATAAATAAATAGTAGGTGGTATTGAATCTAAGCAGTCAGTGGGCATTAACTCCTTCATAGTTGGCAGGGAGACAAAAAATAAATGTATTTGTGCATGTAGCTTCCTGACAATATTCCTTCTCTTCAGCAGTTCCATCCCTATAGACATCAGCAACCCCAGCTACCTGGGGATGCCTGCTTTCTCCCAGCAACCCTCTGCAACCAGCCAGCTCAAGCATATGCCTTCACCAGACCAGCCACCTTCTCTCTGGAGCTATGAGCAGCAGCCCAAAGAGTCCACCTCCATAATGGGGCAGTCATCCTCCACATCACCCTCCTTGTCACCTCTATCTCCAAAACCATCCCTCCAACCCACAGGAAGCAGAAGCATTTATAACCCGTGAGTCTTAGTCTTGCACTGGAGCAGGTCCCCTCTCTCCTGTCCTCCTGCATCGTCACCATTGCATTATCTGCACAGAGTTTGAGGTGCAGCATATTCTTTCAGTCTTTTATCTCTAGAATTAGAAAAAGTGAAGGCCACAAGTGCATACATCACATACTCAAAGAAAACTAGTGTCAGTCATTCCTCAGGCTTTTGTGAAAGTCCAAAATATATGTATAACTTTAATTATCTACCAAGAGAAGAGAAGACAACAGAGTTGACTGTAGTAACAAATAAAGGGGAAGAGTGTGGCATAGATCTTTCAATGAATGGAAGGGAGAGGTCCTTCACATGTCCTATGTGGTGAGATACTGCAGCTGAATGTCTGCTTACACTGCTAGACCAATGTCCAGATACAGCAGTTGGCAGCCATGTGCTGCTTCTGTCCCAAGCCTCACTGCAGTTCCCATCCAGCAATTGAAAATTCCCTCTTTCTACTTCGTGAAGTGAGGAGGCAGCTCTGCCCTAGCACGTGCCAGCAGTCAGTGCCCCCTTCCAGTCCTGTTGGACAGTGGCAGCTTGTTCTGAGCCTGGGCCAGAGTTCCTAGGTCCATATGTGTGTCCCTCCAGAGGTCAGAACTGGCAGAAGGCAGAGCTGCCAGTGCTGCCTCTATCCACTCAGAGAGCCACAGCTCTTTGCTCCTGCATCTGCTGACTTCCAGAAAGCAACTGGAAGCAAGGAACACATCTCATCTGAAGACATTCAAAGAACATGTGCCACTCAGCCCTGCTCCACTCTGTTCAGTGAGATTGTGGCTGATCTTTTAAGTATCATGGAGGTTCTCCAGATGAAAGCCTTGCCAAAGCAGGGTGAGACCACAAAACCTCCTTGTCTCATTGCACAGCTGTGCTGACATTCCAGGCTGACCATCAACTCAAAGGGCTCAGCTGAGAATGCACAGTGATTGTCTCACCCTACAGTCTACAGCTTTTGCAGAGATGTTGTGCAATTGGGTGCATTAGGGAGTGTTAGCCCTTCCCTAGGAACACCATGTGGCATTGGTAGCAAGAGGGGATTCACCTAGTTGTAAAATGCTACAGTATGATGTGAGCTCCTATGTTAACTGTCCAGACAGCCATTTCAGTCCTCTCTGCCGGATCTGAAGGTTCTTATTAATATTTACATTCAGATTTGCGTGTGTTGCGGAGCCATCAAAGCACTTGGCACTGTTTGGCTCAGTGGCTTATCTCTCTAAAGAGAAGCCACATATCGCTTTAACAAGTCCAGCAAGAGTTTATTCAGCACCATGCATGTCTGCTGTCTTGTTAATAATGATTAAACAAGGTAAAAGCAATACACATTTCTCTCCCCCAGCTCCAAGTTTGTCATCCTCTTACCCCTGTGTGCAGTCAGTTTAATTTTATCATGCTCATTTCATAGGCGGTAAAGATTGGAAGGGACCTTAAAGATCATGTAGATCCAACCCCCTGCATGGGCAGGGACACCTCCCACTAGATCACTAGAGCAATCACTAGGTTTCTCAGGGCCCCATCCACCCTGACCTTGAACATCTCCAGGGAGGGGGCATCCACAACCTCCCTGGGCAACCTGTTCAATGTCTTGCTACCCTCATGGTGAAGAATTTCTTCCTAATATCCAACCTAAATGTCATCTCTTTCAGTTTAAAACCATTACCCCTTGTTTCCTATTAATGTTCTCTTTAAATCAGTCAATGTCTCTTGCCTGCTCTTTACAAGTCTCCTTTTCCCACTGCTTTATGCCTGCAGGCCACCTGAACTGGGGAAAACCACAGCAGAGTCTTTGCTCCAGGAGGAGGGGCAGCAAAAGCCAGAGATGTTCGAGAACCCGCTGTACGGCTCCATGGGCTCCAAGGGCAAGGGGGTGTCAAAGAAAGAGCAGGACTACCCCAAAGCCTCACGAAAGGAGCAGCTGCCACTACCTGACCAGACCTTTCATCTCCCAAAGCCCCAGGAGCTGGAGAGCAGCAAGGCCTGTGGCAAACAGCCATCTGCACCTTTTCTGGTCCCCACACAGCGATTTCGATCCTACACTTGCTCCAGCCAGTCTGAAGAGAAGAACACGGGGGAGAAGACGCAAGGCAAGCCCAAGGTGACAACATCCCTGGAAAACTCTGCACCACTCAAAAAACTAGTCAAACCCTCGAGGTCTGAAGTCTGCCCAAGTGTCCAGGGACAGCAAGCCAAGCCACCCCTTCCCTCCAAGAGTCGGGCAGTGTTGGACATGCAGAACTCCAAGGGCCGAGACTACCGGGACAGTTCAGAGCTGCCACACTCCGGGAAGCATCGGACAGAGGAGGGACCAGTCGGCAGGACAACCACCCCGGTGTGTTACCTGTGGGAGCAAGGCAGGGGGGAAGTTCCATTAGATGTGGTGTCAGAGCAGAATTCCACTAGAGGAGCAGAGGCTCAGTTGCTGTGTCCTTGCTCTGTGGGTCCTACCCCAGCTCAGAGCACTGTCCCACCAGCCCACAGGCTTCCCGAGCAGGGGGTGCAAGGGCAGATCATGAGGCAATATTGCTGCAAAGACATCCTGTTGTGGAGCCAGGCCCTTAGTTCTGCAGGAAGTTTTAACTTCTTTTGCACTGTTAAAGCTTGATGGCCAGAAGAGGAATATCAATAACCAGCAATGTTGTAATTGCTGGTTTGGTGAGTCCCATTTTTTTTCTGAGGATGTCTAAACTTGGTCTGACAGAACAAATCTACAGCATTGGTTAATAGATTTGTTTTGCTGTCATTATTAAAAATATTATTAAAAAAGTAGTTATCTATGGGAAGCACATATCAGCTTAAGACAGTAGCATCCAAAAACATTACTGAATCCTCAACAGAAATAACAACACATCTACTTTTCTGGGCTGCTGGGTTTGGTTTTTGGTTGGATTGGGTTGGACTGGTGTTTTTTATTGTTTATTTGGTTTGGAGTTTTTTTGTTTTCTTTGTTGTTTTTGTTTTCTCCAGTCATGAGCTGGATGAGGAGAAGGGGAGGTTTTCATAAATGGGTTTGGGAGAAGAAGACAGCCCACTTGAGCAAGATGTAGGGGTGTTTTCCTTCTCCATCAAAACTTTTAGAATTGACAATAGACAAGCTGATGTCTCCTCTTGTCTCTACAGTGAAAACGACATGGCAGATGGCATCCTAGGAGGAATCCTGATGGGAAGAAAGATGGATATTACTGCTTTGTTCACACTGATGTCCTCTGGTCTGGTTCTAAAAAGACTGGGGATTTTTATTTTTGAGAGTGTATCCCTCTCTATGATTATGAAAGTGTTCTAGCTGAGAAGTTTTATCCCATGTGGCTCAGACCAAGGGGAGCCAAAACCACAATACCAAACGCAAGCTAGCCTTCTGTAGTGTCACTTTGGTACTTCTACTAAGAGGCAGGTGGTTAAGTACATGCATTAGTAAGTGTTTTGAAAAAGAGGAAGGTACGGTGTAAGGACTAAGAGATGGAAGGGGTGTATTTCAAGGACCCCCTGTCTACAAGAGCAAAATCTTTATTTTGTGTTACAGAATTCCTATTAAAGAGTGACAGGTATAAGAAAGCATTTTGAAAGCGGTACAGCTCCAAAAGCACATCCTATCCATGGAGCAAGGAGTCAGGGAAGGGGGGGGAAACACTATGAACAGCAGAATGTCACCCATGGTCAGCGGGACCAGCTTTGCCTCTCGCGTGAGCTGCTAGGCAGCACATGTGTGTGGTTCCTGCAGAGTGTGAGGGCTGGCCCTGGGCACTGCAGCTCTTTTTTTTTTTTTCCTAGCAGGCAGTGCTCTTGTACCCCTAACAATCCCAGGGAAATGTCAGGACTACAGGCAGAAATGGGAACAAAGGCAGGGGCTGTAGGCAGCCAGGGTACAGCTGCCTGAAGGGATGGACAGCAGTCATTCCAGCCTGTCCTGCAGTTTCTGAATGACACTGGCCAGCTGATTTTGTAGCATTCTTAATAGATTAATGCTGACCTTACTGTACACTTTGTTCGTTGACTGAGAATGAATAATGTTAACATCCTTGTAATTTCTGTTATATTCATGTTAAGTGTTCATGCTGTGGTTACAATCAGGCTAATGCCTGTTTGTGACTTAATAGTTGTTACTGTTTCTGCATTGATTACTTAAAAATAATAAAATAGTCACCTTTCTGATCATTCTTTACTGCAAATTCAGAACTGCCTGCCACATGCTTCAGCTTTAGTTGGGTGTTAGGCCAGCCCAGTCAGTGACAGTGGTCCCTGCCCAGAAGAAACCCCAAAGGCACCGAGGAGCACAGGGCAGAAGCCGCAAAACTGCTGGGATGTTGTGACTGAGAACACGTCCATCTGTGCGCGCAGGCCCCTGATGGACACAGCTGTTTTAAACATTCTAGCACCTGATAGCAGGTACAGTTTCTAATTGTATGAGTAAAGAAAATGTGCAGCAATTCCTCTGGAGCAGAAGAGGCCAAGCATAGGCTTGTGAGAATGGGAGGAAGAAGACCATCTGCAAGGTAGAACCCTTCAAAAAGAGAAGGTTTTCTGCCACTCAGGTTGGGGTTTCAGCATCAGTGCTGAAACACCTGGCTCTGTGACCCACCAGTCAGCAAGATGGGCTGTGGGCCCACATTTCTCTTGCTTCATTCTACAGAGTCCTGTCATACCTGTGGTATGTCCCTGGCCCTGGGGAGCATTTCAGTTTTCTATTCCAGATTCTATTCCAGACTCATACAGATCCACAGTAAAGCCTTCCTGGAGCAGGTGAGCTTTCTGTTCAATATAAAGTCTGATCAGTTCCTACTAATTCTGTGGTGTGATCGTTTATGTTCAGAGATGGAAATATGACAGGCTTTCTACAAGAAGTTTCAACTTCTCAATAACAAGACAGGCTCATATTTTCTGTGATGTGTTTATTTACTGACTTCCTAACCTGTAGCAGAAAAGGTATATTCCCTGCAGTTTGCAAAATAACAGCTTGATATAAACCATGGATAACTTGTAGCAAAAAATACTCCCCTAATTGGGAATACAGCTTAAATTTGTTCCAGATTTGCAGATGAGCAGAATTTGAGAACACTGGACTTACTGGTCCTTGACTTGGCCAGTCCTTCACAAAGGCACATTGCTTGGGAGAAGAGAAACTCCCTGTAAAGTTTCCAGAAGAAAAAATGTAACATTATTGTCCCCATGTTAGAAAGCCAATGGTATGAATTATCACTTGTGGCTCCAAAGAGAGTC